GGGGGTGGGGGGGGGGGTCTGAATTGAGCGATCAATTATTAGACCCGGACGTCCCAACACTTGCTTCGCAAGACAAACTCAAGGTATCCCCTAAAGGGCTACCTTTCGTGACCTTCAACCCCTCCATGGAGGGAAACCATATGTATGCAGAGGTTTCTCGATCCAAATGAGAGGCGCTTGATTCGGTTTATATATGTTTTTAATGAATCAAAGACCAAAGAGTCTTCCACGGAGGGACCACCGGTGTGGACACCTGTCCAGCTTCGCCAGGGCACCGCGTCCACGGAGATTGCCACGTTCTGGCACTCGGCGTCGGCCGTCGGCCGGAGCACATGCAACGGATCCGTCCCCACGTCGTGCACCTCGTCCCGGGCGGAGCATGGAGCGCATGGAGCCATGCTTGGTCCTTTTTCGGTTGGACAAACAAAAGTGGAGGGACTCCCTTGGCCCAAGCCGATTTGTGCCCTACCAAATGTGGTCACTGGGTCTTGAAATCTCCAAAACACCTTGTTGATGGGATATGGTAGTCCAAGATCATCTAACCCGGAACTTGCCCCACCGTCCCATCCCAACCCTTCAGCCAAAACCCCAAGCTCCCACTCTGGCCTTAGGGTACGCCTCAGTCTGCGCGTCCACGCAAGACTTCCGCGGACCTTTGAGTTCCTCCTCCTCCTCGTTCCCAGGGATTTCACCTCGTTGATGCTGGGCACTCCCGGACCACACAGAAAGCCGGCGACCTGCTTTTTTAGTCTAATGTGGTGCATTTTGTTCATACATCACGTATGGCTTTGCTCGCATGCTTCAGGCCCCCTGCTCAAGCCATTTGCCAAGAGGAAAATACATATGCCTCCTTGCACTTCTCTGCCCCCGGCCGTGCGGTCAAAGCTGCAGTGGCCCATGGCCAAAGGCATCGATAGCCCGCCCGAGCGGTGCCAGGAGAGCACGGAGATCCAGAAGTGGCCCGAAGGAATGCCGTGTAACCTGGGTTGGCGACAAATGGATAAGTTTTTTATGGATATCTTCATTTTTGAGTTGTGCTATGCTTCCTTGTCTTTGTCTTCTCGTCCCTCGAACCCTCCGTCCCTCAATCCATCATTACTTCCTTCGTTCATGTTTTAGTCCCTTCTGGTCCATTCTCTTTTTCTTTTCTTTCTATCAGTTTCTATATATATATATATATATTATATTCCTTTAAGTCTTTTCTTACTCTATCTGTATGTTCTCTCGTTTGCTCTTTCTTGCTTTCGGATTCTTTCTGTTTTTTCTCTGTGGCTTCGGATTTCCTTGTTGTGTCTTTCTGACTTTCTGTAGTTTGTCACCAAACTCCTGCCTTTTTTTGCCAACCCAGCCAAAGGGCTCTAAAGCAGGATCGGAAGGTAGCTGGTTCAGGGGCTCCGAAGGCAGCATCTCAATACCTCGGCCCCATCTCATGGCGAACGGCTCTTAGGAACACATCGACATTTTAGCATCCAAGGATTCAGTGGTCATTGCTACCCAGTCGTCAAGCTTCAGGTCCGTCTTCACCGGTTGGGCTGCCCAGCTGCACTCTTGAAGAAGTCACTTGAACAAGTTGTGTGATGCAGCGATGCTTCTCTTGGGTTGGTCTTTGCGCACATGCCAGGCACATGCCTCTTTGAAGGGGAAGGTGCTGTTACAGGACATTCCTTCGGAGTGGGTTTAGAGGCATCCTGACTGCTCTGACTGCTAATTTGCACACCGCACACCCGGATGTGGACGGAGGGCGTCGCTGCCCACGTGTCGACCCTGCGATCCCAGCTGCGGAGGATGTTCTTCCGATCGAAGCTGTGAAAAACCACGAACCAGGCTTCACAAAGCACCTCCGGCCATGGGTGTTTTTGAGGTGAGGTGTGCGATGCAGGGTCTGTGGTGTCAACATGAGCGTGTCTGGAAGAGGGTCTAGTTTACTGGCAAGTCAATGGGGGGAACTCCATGTATATAGCTCCTTTGCTCCAGTATATCAGATCAAAGGGGGAGTACAGTAGAAATCAACCGGAACTGTGGAAGATGCATAAAGATGTGGCCTGCAAATCAATCCGCCGGCCCTTGGGCGCGGCGTGTTTTAGGTGATTGGTTTGTATGCTATCTTAGGTAGTAGTTTTGTTTTTAGTCTAATTGTACCCACGGCGCGGATTTTTGACAAGTCTAACTTCCCCCCCCTCCCCCCCCCCTCAGCCAAAAGGGCCGGCGGAACAATCCGCAGGGGTAAATATGTGATGGAGACGTGGCCCCACTAGCTTGCTTCCATTGCTTGCTGCGTTTGAACCTGGTCGTTGGTCTCACGCTATCTACAGCTTGGCCCAGCTGTCACCTCCCCTTGCTGTTTTTTCGTTGCAACCCAGCCTCTTGAATGCCCTCCCATCTCAGCTTCACTGTGTCCACATCTAACTCCTTGGCAGGGCTCAAAGTGGCCCAAACACGCACAACCGCTCGGACCCATTTTCCTTGGCAGAAGTTCCTTTGGCTGATTCGTGAACCTTAGAACCTGGGATGCCCGGTGGTCTTCTGGGATACCCGCCGGTGGTCATTAGGCTTAGCTCATCTTGGCCAAGTGGCTGCTGAAAGGTCAGCCACTTTGAGCTGCTGGGCGCGACGGCGACATCCTTGGGGGCAGGTCAAGTGCCCTCGCTCCGCACAAATAGAAGTTCTTCTCGGTTGTTGATGAAAGCCCACATCTGTCTCTCGGACTGTCAGTTGTTCAGGGACAGGTTTCGCCATAGACTCATAGACTGGGCTGGGTTGTAAGAGTTTTATCCCAACTGTTGGCTCTAAATGCCGACAGCCGCCGGTCAAAAACGCCAATTTTTGCCGGCGGCCTGAAAACACCGGTCGAAGGTCGGAGCTGACATAAGGACAAGTCAATGCTCGGAAGCCCAAGGGTTGAAACGGTGGTTTGTTCTTTCCGGCCGAGGGCGATGAACCGCAGAAGCCCGGGATTGGCATCGCCCGCATCCAGTTGGTGTGAATTCCTGTCTCTGTGGACGTTGGCGTTCGGCACTTGGTGGCACAGTGACTTCGTCCGAATTCTGAACTCATGCTGCGAGACGTGTCGAGACGTGTCGTGTTCATGCTCCACTTCTGAGATCCAGGGCGAGCAGCTGTAGAGGATCCAATAGCCAAAGATCCAAAACACCAGAATGGCATGGGCTGCTACAGCACCACCATGTATAGCCTGGCACGGTGGAGTGCTGTGGGTCGGTTTGGTTTTGAGTTCGAGCCACGGCCAGAGTGCCAAGTCCTCTTCCTCTACAAGTGGGTGTTAGTTTACTCGAGTGTTCAAGCAAAGCCTACAGTGACCTTCAATTCCTATCCCCAATGGGGTAGGTAGGCCGCAAGTCTTCAGCCGTGCCAAAGCAAACCAACACTGTTCGGTTGCGTGCAACCTCAATGTTGCTGACCACAGGCGCCTACACAACAAAGTCTGTGCAGTTTGCAGCATTTGATGCTAAAGGGCCCACAATAATCCACAACCTATGGAGAAACCAACCTACGCCGTTGACCAAGAACCTTATGCAAATCTAAATGCGTTGCAGTGATGTCTTCATCTGAGACATTGCAGCAACAATCTTGCGAAACTAAGTATATGTATATATATGTGTGTGTGTGTCAACCGCTGTACTAAAGGGTCCAATGCCACCGTTTCCATTACCACCACTTAACAAGGCAGGGGGCCATCCCCCTCCCCAGTGGCGGATGGCCAACGAAGAGGCCACTGGGGGGGGGCTGCAAACGTACCTGCCGAACTGTTGTACAAGCTGTCACTCCACTCTTTCTTTGTTTGTTTCCATGGTGGTTCATGCTACTTCCCCTAAACCCTTTCCCTCGCCGCTCGCGCGCGTCGTCGTCGCACCACTGCAGATGAGAAACTTCAATGTTAAAACACCTTCAAGTCTTTGGACCTTTCACCATGCCGTTCCATCGCCTTCCTTCTCGACGTGGGAACTGAGTGTAACTGAAAACCAATGTCAGAGTGTGTTTCGCTCAGCCGTCCCACTCGGGTGCTGAGTGTGATCCCCGTCACTGGGGCGCTGAATTCATGCCGGAAATCGTGCAACTGAGCTTTTCCACTTCTCACAGGAATTCACCACTTGATCAACCTTAACTGAATTTACTGCTTCCAAGGCCGCCGGGCCAAAAAACGGGATTCTCTCAGTCTGCCACATGCCGCTAAGTATTCACCAGTCCATGTCACTCTGCTAAGTATTCACAGGCCGGACGAATTAATCGTGCACCCCCTCCCTGCCCCTGGGCCTCCTCTGCTATCCCACCCGCTACTGAGCAACAGAAGGAAATCGCACTCAACACACTTGTGTGTTGGTGCCTTTCCTTCTGTTTCTCCTAGTCTATTGCTAGCTACCCGGGCGGTTTAAGACGAATGTCCCGCTCGCAAACTACTTTCGTTTAACTAAGTGGGCCTCGTAACTACACCTATCTTTCTTTCTTGCCCTCTTAGTCTGCTTTTGTTTTGTTTGCTGTGTCTGTCTTTCTTAGGCTTTTTAGGTGACTAATAGTTTTTTGCTGTGCCAACAATTGGCGCTTTCTGTACAAATGTTCGGGGAGTCAGGACGCTACTGGAGGCCCCTGGCCTCACTACTACTTTGCTAGGGGAGACCGCGCCGAATACGGCTATGTGTGTGTGTCACCCCCTGTACCAAAGGGTCCAATGCCACCGTTTCCATTACCACCACTTAACAAGGCAGGGGGCCATCCCCCTCCCCAGTGGCGGATGGCCAACGAAGAGGCCACTGGGGGGGGCTGCAAACGTACCTGCCGAACTGTTGTACAAGCTGTCACTCCACTCTTTCTTTGTTTGTTTCCATGGTGGTTCATGCTACTTCCCCTAAACCCTTTCCCTCGCCGCTCGCGCGCGTCGTCGTCGCACCACTGCAGATGAGAAACTTCAATGTTAAAACACCTTCAAGTCTTTGGACCTTTCACCATGCCGTTCCATCGCCTTCCTTCTCAACGTGGGAACTGAGTGTAACTGAAAACCAATGTCAGAGTGTGTGTGTTCTCTCTGGTCTGCACCAAAACAACTTGAGTCAGATCCAGATCCAAAACCGCCCTGACCCAACAATCTTGACTCCTCATGATGCCAGGCCACGGCTCTGCCATAGTCCAGGTCTGAACCCAGAGCCGCAAGGCGACGGCCCAGCAGCCAGGAGGCCAGAACCAGCTGGGGCAAATGACAGTAGAGAAGGAAGCGAGTGCCTGGGACAGGTAGCCCCTCTGGCAAGCCTGGTTGAGAGGTCTTAAGGTCTTATTGCCATATCACGCACTGGCACTACTAGTGTATGTAAGCAGGTTATACTGGCAGTACTGTTGGCATACCTTGGGTCTATCCTATTACCAGTTGCAGTGGATGACGATGGTTAGTAAAGGCCTTGCTCAAAAATAGTGATAATTGTTTACTGACTGCTACAGGGAATAGGACAGACCCAAGGCATCCTGTTCTTACACGCGCCGTGCCCCAGTAAACTATAGCCGGCCCAGGGCCCACCACACGTCAACAACATCCTCCGTTTAAGCTCGAGGCATCCGAACAAGGATCGCTTCAATGAGGGCAGCGCAGCAAAGTGGGCATCAACTGGTTTATAAGGATATGTATATATTATATTATATATATATATGTTCATTTTCTCTCCTGATCGCTCCTGCATGGGATAAGGTCAGATTCAAACAGGTGGATCCAACACCACAACACCAAACAAAAGTGCTACTTTCCACATGCATCCGTGCCAAACGTGACGGGCATCCTCCAAGCCTCGGCACTTCTGGGGTTCTGATTGGCTCGTGGTAGATCTGGTGAGCTGGGGTTGGCTACTTCTTCATCAATGAACTATGGTGCACGGCCTGTAGGGGTGTTCACCGGCCCTGCGCAGGCCATAGAGGATCCCATCACATGGCTAGCTAGGCACCGGGACCACCGAGTCGGTCGCGCCAAGCTGCTTCGCCACAAGTCGCCCATGCGAGGAATCGGCGACAGTTGCCGACACATCCTCGTGACTGGAGGCCAATCACCGCAGGTCAAAGCAGGACTCACAGAAACTGATGGTGCAGTTCTTCCATGAATGTACAGTGATGTTCGTCGTTTGGCCGGGGAGACTTTGTGGTGGACAGTCCATGAATGCTTGCCACCCCCTGCGGAAATACCGCCTGGTTCCCACCCCCGACCCGTGAGGCCAGATCGAGCAGGCGGAAAGCACCATAAGGCGAGTGGTTTTGGAGTAGATGGTCGGTGGTTTGCATGGACCCATCTAAAATGACATGCAGGGGTTTGTGCCATCTACTCTGAAACCGCTGTACAGCAAGTCAAGATCCAGGAAGCCACAACGGTGAAGGGGCGTGGTTGATCCCCTTCATGACAAATCAACATGTAGTGCAGCATCCGAGTGTTTCAATCAGTGCAAGTATGAGAATAAGACCAGCGCTGCCAATCAACTGTCAATCAATCTGTCCATCTATCTACAAGAGTAGCCTATTGAACCTTTAACTGTACCGACCAAATCTGTTGAGCACGGGCGCCTCTCCCTAATTTCTGTCACTATGAAGGAAATTTGGAGCAAATCCCTGAATATAGAGGATTAAAAAGAAGGAAGGTGGTCTTCCACGGAGAACCTGCTCCACTTTCGTGTTGACTCAGTCTCAACACGGTTTCCTAACCTAACTGCCAATGGATGTGCACCAAAATGCTCTCTACATCTATTTAGGCAGCATAGCTGGCATACCCTGCTCCAGACTGGCAGGAACCCTGAAAAGACTGACGAGTTTGTAGTGGAAGACCTTCATCTATTATATTCTAATTATATCTAATTATCCTCCTTTCGGGATCTAGGGAGCTACGGCCTGTCGTTCTTTCGCACCAACGGACTGCCAGACCTGACAGCTCCCTGACAGCTCCGAATCGATATCGATCGAGCCTGGCGGGTGTGAAAGTCTGCCGATTTGAGCCAAGCGTCGGGCACTGCACAGCACACAGCTCCGCCGTGCCCGGCACCTTCCGCACAGCGCCCGTGGGCGCCCCCGACTCCGGAGCGGGGCCCACCACACCAGTGAAGCGGCGTCCTCAAAGCACCGGCCGCGCAGGAAGGGCCAGGTGCCCTGGCGTTTTTGGAGGGTTCCTTCACCAACCCAAGGTTTGAGTGTTTTTGTTGTAGGCCTTTCTCCACTTGGTGCCACATGAGGGGGTCAGATGGAGTCAGGGTGTGCCCAGCTGCTGGTCAAAGGAAAAACCGTTCGCAGGTCCTTTAACGGCGGGACTTTGTGGTGGGATAGATTTGGTCATAGTAGTCATAGTCACCTCGAGTAGCAGAGTATGTGCAGCAAAATCTGCTCGGAACAAACTTGTGTGCCACCGCCGACCCACCCAAAAATATCAAAAAAGAATATGGCATGATCAAGCAAGAGGATTTAGGTGCATGCACCACGGGCCATCAAGGTCATCCATGCCACACTCGTCGTGATCCTGTTCAGTAAGTCATGATGTCTTCCTCTAGTTGGAGTTCATTAGACATCAAGGGACCCAACCATGAGACATCCTGCGACCCAGGCTTGTCTGCAGGTCACCGGACCTCAGACTGCTTCAGGTCACCCCTCCCTGGTCTGCTGACCATGGTACCGCCCGGCTGCATGGGTGCACGGTAGAGCTGCAAGGCGTCCGGTGTCAAGCCCACCACCGCAGCCTGCCGTCGACTGGGCGGGAGTTGTGCCTTTCTGAAACTGAAAGATCAGCTCCAGTGACCTGGACAAGCACTTGCGAAAACGCACTACTAGTAGCAAGAAGCTACTAGGTGGAGGCCATCGCTAGCAGGTTGGAGGCCATTACTACTACTGTAAATAGTAACAAGAAGTAGCCACAAGTTTCATGAACTTTCTATCTTTTCTCGACGTGCATGATGGGGAGGATGCAGGATGATGCATTCATGCCAATGAATAGCCACCCAGCCGTGAATGAAACAGTCAAACCACTGGAGCTCAAGCCAAACATGTACATCTCTGTGTGTATGTGTGTGTGCCACACGGATAAAAACATATTTAAAACATTTTAAAACCACCAGCCAGCCAGCAAGAACGCCACCTGGACCACCATGTTCATGTTGGGGTGTCGGCGACGCCAAATCCGCAGCTTGTTCGCGCTCCGCCGGCTGGGGGGGGAACATCTCGAAGAAAAGCAACCTTCGCGGCTGGCTCCGAAGCTGCTTGTGGGCTTCGTAGAAACGCAAGGCATATATAGGGGTCTCCAAATAGATAGAAACGGTTTCCAATACATGTTTAGTGGGAATGTACTTTTCTATCTATTTGGGGGTCTGTATGCTAAGGTTTTGAAGGACTGTTTACTTTGCTCCGGGCAACTCTGAGCCTCCGATTGGGATTCACAGGCTGGCCAATTGAGTATGACCCAAACCCGATGTGACTCTGCGCGCCGCCCCGGCAACCTACAAGTACGCAGTAGGTTGGCGGCTGGATATGTGGAGCCGTGGGTGTGATGATGGTCAATGTCTAACCGGCTGAAGTTTACTGATATAGTGATACAGTGATGCAGTGTTTCACCACACGCAGGGTAAGGACTGCCTTGTGGAGAACCTTTGGCTAAAAGGGTGACCAAAAGTCTTGCCCGAATTTACCTACAAGGCCCTCCATGTAACATGCAACCAGGTGCGGCAAAACTAAAAACGAAACAGCTCAGCTCGGAACATCGCCACAGGAACTCCCTTAATTACTATAGAAACCATCAAAAGACATGTTCTGAAACGAACACTTGTGAAGCTCAAATCCCCGAGGAACAAGCTTGTGAAGCTCCGCCGGTGAGGCCGAACCCTCTGCCAGTCGTCCCAGCTGTCTCCGTCACCGCTCGGCTGCCCAAGTGGCTCCAGCGCATTGAAGGGCAAGATTGCAATGAGGCTGGCAAGCATGGGCCACAGCTCCTGATCACATCCGATTGGCCACTTCATCCAGCTTCCGACCGGCTGCGGATCACGCCCGTAAAGAAACAGAGTTTTCTCGCACCCACCCGGATCTACAACCGTTAGAGATCCAGTTTGTGTGGGATTCAGCTGCCTCCAGGGATTAAGAGGAGTGTAACCGCACCAAATCCGCACCAAATCTGACATCCCAATAGATTTTAGGTGGATGATGGATCGATGACGGGTTTGCTCCATCCAAATCCAGCCAAGGCCAAGCAGTTGGATGACGCCGGTCCGATGCGCCACAGAGTGAGTGAGAAGAACACGCCTGTGAGGGCAGCTCCGCCAAGAGGATGCCCGCCAAGGCCAAGCCGTTCCCAAAGAAGACCAGCAGAAAGCCTGAACTCTACAGAGGCTTTGTTGATCCGCCAGTTTTCTGGAATCAGCATTCATGCTCTAAGTCTTAAGGTCCCAACAACCACTGTGGAAACATGTCCCACACAACCCAATAAGCCTTAAAACATGGATCTCCGCAGGGTCAGGGCACCACTGTGGAATCTCAACCAGCTCGACTCTGGAATTTGGGTGCCTGGATGTGCCAGGTATGGAAAAAGAAAACGCAGGTCATTTCGGCCAACGCGTGGAAGGCAAAGGGTCATCACTACTGATGCAAAGAAACTGGCACTACTGGAAAAAGGGACAGCCTCAGCCGTATTTGTGTGTTTGGGCTCAGCTCAGCTGGTGAAGCAGGTCCATTTTTTGCTGGGATTCAGCCAGGTGCCAAGTCTTTGGGAGAAAGACAAGGGAGAAGATAGATAGCAGCACGTGCTGAATTGGGGGTTGTGTGTGTGTAACCCTTGGAATCATAGGGATCCTTTCGGATTGTTT